AGACTTTCTCCAATTGTGATGAAGGTTTATAGACAGATTAAGTTCTGCTGGGTTATTCCCTCCTTTACTTCCCTGCTTTGAGAGTGTTTCAATTCTCTCAAATGAGAGAGATGCAATAAGTCTTTGTGTTGCTAGAAAACCCACCATAGAAATATATACTCTCTTTGGACCAGCACCGGGACAGCACAATGAAACAAAAAGGGTGCAAGTGTGAGGATGGCTTTTTCTAGGCATCTAATGGCCATAATGGGTCCAAGCAGATACATTTCTCTACAGAACCTCACACCTAAGTATTGCAATGTACTTTATCTCCATGTACCTTATTTCCATGTACCATTTCACAGGGGGGGGTGGGGGGGGTGTTACAGTATACCTAGACTACCTAATGAATTTACACCATTACCTCTTAGGAATGGTTTAGGATGGGTATAGTTGATCCTTCCTGCAGACAATGGGGAAGAGACTAGATGAGCACTCAGTGTCCTTTCCAGCCCTACTTTCTATCATTCTACGATAAACAAGCACAGAGATGAAGTGACTTGTAGGTAAGCTCATACACTAAGTTGGTGCTAAAACTGAGAACAAAATCTAGCACTTAGCCCCATGGAACTGCTTTAAACATTCTCTAGTGCTTGCAAGTGCCAATGTATTTAAGAACATGAACAAGAAGTCTGTTTAAATTTTACAAATAAACCGATTAAGTGTTTTTGATTCATGCTAGTAGTTCTGTACAAAATGTGCTTATGTGGTGTGGTATGTTTACCTCTCCACAACAGAGTTTAAGAGCTGCAGCTAGCAAGTATCCATTGAAATGGTTTCAGCTCTGTGCATTCAGGGAAGATGGCCCCAGTCAGGCTCTAAGCAATTCCACCCTATAACTTCCAATGGGTAAGCCCCTTCAGCTTCATTAAACTTCTGTATGTGTTTTCAAACTGGCTGGGAGAAACTTTTCCCCCAAAGCCTTCACAAAGTAACTAGCATTTTGGATAAACAGAACACATCTCTCTAGTGGTGAAAGGGCACAGATGTTCTCTCATGTGTATCTGTATGGGGTTGGCTGAGGAGCTTATTCATGTCTGCAGCTTGTCTAAGTATTGGGAGAATCTGCACCACTGTGAGGTATCAGTGTCCCATCATAGATTGATGGCTGTTAAGGAGCATTGGCTGGTTGCTTCCAAATCTACAAGCTTAACAGACCATTGCTAAGGTCATGGCAGAGACAGATTGTATTGCAATTCCTAAGAGCATCTCCTCCAACCTATGCTCTTTCCCCCTTGTTGCTAATACCACCCATCTTAAATTGCTTTCTCTTTGTTACCAAGTGCCATAGCAGTAGAAACTACATGAAGACAAGTAGTTTCCTGCCTCCCCAACAAGCGAGCATAACTACATTTTGCAGCTGTGTACTGACATGGATGGCAGCAGATGGCTGAAGTGCTTTAACTGAGAGAATCCCCTCTGGTGGAGTTGTTACAGCAGGGATTTGTTGG